TCTCCCACGTAAGAAGTAGCTGAAACCTTGGTGCTAGAGTATCGCTTGATGCAGTGATGCCATTTTTGCGAATTACTAGTGACTAATCGTTCCTGTCCAATAAAAGTAGATGGAAGTGGGTCAAGGCTGGGTGAATGTGTTCCTTATCCCACTACGAAAACTAAATTAAGAACGATTACTCTTATTTTTTTTACTTGTTTCTCTACAGCCTCCCTTGGTCTATGGACGTCCTCTCATCGAATGGCAACCCACCAGTCACATATAAATGGTGATCTTAATTCAAAGGCTTGACATATTTGGAAAAGATGTGGATGGGTAAGACTAAACCTTACTTTCTAAAATCGGGTCCAGAAGGTGATTAAATTCCAATCATGGAGCCGAGATACAACCATTGATTGAGTTCCCTATTTGAAACATCACTGAGGAAACGATAGTGTCAGGTATAGGGTATATGGAACTATCGAATAAAAATGCAATAAGAGCATGGAAAATTTGTATTAATCGACATGTACATAAAATCAAATCACGGATCACACTCCTTATAAAACTGATTCAATGTACACATGTATATTTCATTTGATATATTTTCTGGCGATTGCCTGCACTCTCTCATTAACCTACGTGAGAGGAACACCCTCTAGATTGGAGCAGATACACAGATTTCTAACGAGGAATTACTTATAAAAAGAAGGAAGACACAAATCTACTAACTACAACGAGCAAACGCACCAACGTTGTTACTTAAGTTGTGAATTTCGCTTGTGCGTAGTATACAATTCATGATTTTTCAGTGCAAAAGATACGAGTGTTATAAGGTCGGCTATCCTAATGTCATGTGCATTGCGTAGTCATGTAACGAGAAAAGTGGCACAGAAAAAGCGAAAAAAAAGAAATGGGAGAGGTCAACAGAAAGAATAAAGGGTATCATGGAGGTTACAAGAAAGTGTACAACAAATAAACAAGAAAAGAGCAACCACTTAAAATTCCAATCATAAATCTAGCAAACTGTTATGTCCCGGAAGATACGGTACTCCAATATAAGAATGGATTAATCTAACTAGTTCCAGATAACATAAGTCTATCAAAAAGAGACTCCACTTAACTACATCCACGTCGTACACTCTGGTCGAGCACCAGCAATGTTTCGAATAAAATTACCAAATCTTGGTCACCGCACACCGCCCGGCTTAGATGTTCCATTCACTATAGTCGTCTGTTATCTCCTACCGTCTGTACAATGCGTGACAAACGACTACATAGCGGCTGCCATCTGAACGCGCCTCTATCCCGGCCCGCCGAAGAGAAGATTTTCGGCTCTCCTGCGGCCTCCTGCGAGCGCCGTGCTGACTCTGTCGCCGCGTGCAAGAAGGCCCTCTCTCACGTGCCTCAAATACTCTCCTCACGTATAAGAACGCTGATGCGGCCTGATCCACCTGTCCCTCAACAATTACCGGCCTTCTAGCTCTTCCCACCTCACTCGTATCATCTCCCGGCTCCGAGCCTCCGTCGTCGGGAGTCTGCGGCACTACTCAACTCCATTCTCCACGTCGGTTCTGGACCCGCCCCATCGTCGTGTCCCATCTAACGTGTTCGCGTAGACGAGCGCAGGATTACAGGACCGGTCCGCCTCCCCTCACTCCCTAGGGAAGGGCAGCTAGCACGTTGGCTGCCCTGCAGCACAACAAGAGGCGTCTTTCGGTGCTTCCCAATCGCTTCTCCCTTCGGCTGGTAAAGGTTTCCTCAGCGTTGACCCTCGCAGGCACTTAGCGTGAGATCGCGTTCTATGCTTGACTTAGCTGACACAAGTCACGTCCATCCAGTCGATTTAGCCTCGACAGCAGCTCCCGCGGCAGCTCTCGCTTACCTGCGTCTACTGCGTCCGTGTGTCATGCTTGCACGCAATCGTGATAGAGGGGTGTCTTCGAGAGCGCTGAGCAGTTTCCTCATTCCGAGAGTCGAGCGTCCGCTGACGAACTGAGGCACCTATCGGCGCTATTGAGGAGGAGACAGTTAATGGGCAAGCATGGATAAAAAGAGCACGCTAGAGCCCTACGGAAGTCAATGGACGCAGAGCTCCGATGTCCAAATCGGGGCGATCCGCTCATGGGAAATGAGGCCCGCCCTATGGAGACTGACGAGAATGAAGTACGGAATCGAGAATGTGAGAAATAAGGAGGGAGAGAGCGAGGGGAGCACGAAAGAGAGTAAGGAAGAGTGCGAGGGAGTGAGGGGAGGCGGACGGAGAGTGAAGAAATGAGGGACAGTGAGGGGAGCACGAAAGAGTGAGATGAGCGCGAGGGAGTGAGGGGAAGAGGAGGGGGAGTAAGGGAAATACAAAGGAGGATATTGAGGTAGTGAGTGAGGCGAGTCGGGTGAGAACGAGCAAATTGGGAAGGATACAGGACTGATGAGTGGGAGAGTGAGCAAGAAATCTGGGACATTTGATGTAGATTCCTAAATATGACTAGGAATTACATATCTGGAATGTATGTTGACTTACATCGGAAAATAAATTAGCTTTTTTTTTCTTTCTTTCTTTTTCTTTCTTTTTTTCTTTTTCCTTTTGTAACACCCCGTGTTACTCTCAGAAAATTACCAAGCGATAAATACTTTGTGTTTTTTTTTTTTTTATAAATCCAATCGTTTCCCATTTCCGGGCAATGCAAAATTTGAATAACATTTCTGATATTTAAGGACACTGTGTTTTGACTGATAAATCGCACTGTTATTGATAGTCATATACCCTATACCACAGTCAGAATTGAACAAAGTGTAGCTTGGATCTCGACCGGGAGTAGAAAAGCACTCCTTAATATCACACTTTAGGGCTGTATTTATTTATTTATTTATTTATTTATTTATTAGGGCTGTATTATTTAGGGTTTGTTAAAATTTTGTGAGGCCTTACCCAATGAACATTCATTATACGTACATGCTTATGAAATGAAATAAATGCATATCTATCAGGTTAGTCTTGCTTATCTACCGTATAGATAAATAAATGTGTGAATATATCTGATAGATGGACAGATGTGTATTTATTTTTGTGTATATACATTTCTGTATATACGGATAGTCATTGGGTCGCGCCTCGCACAATTCTAACAGGCCTAAGAACTGCCTCGCCTTAGAATGTCAGGAGCCCACAGAATACATAGGCCTACCCTTTCTGGTTGTTTCTCTCTCTCTCTCTCTCTCTCTCTCTCTCTCTCTCTCTCTCTCTCTCTCTCTCTTTCTTTCTTTCTTTCTTTCTCTCTCTCTCTCTCTCTCTCTCTCTCTCTCTCTCTCTCTCTCTCTCTCTCTCTCTTTCTTCTCTCTCTTTCTCTCTTTCTCTCTCTCTCTCTCTCTCTCTCTCTCTGCTCTCTCTTTCTCTCTCTCTCTCTCTCTCTCTCCCTCTCCCTCTCCCCTTTCTCCTCTCTCTCTTCTCTCTCTCTCTCTCTCTCTCTCTCTCTCTCTCTCTCTCTCTCTTCTCTCTCTCTCTCTCTCTCTCTCTCTCTCTCTCTCTCTCTTTCGGACTTTCCCACTTCACGTACTCTTGAATACAGCTTGTAATCACCCCCTGCTCTTTCTTTCCAGATGCTAAGAAGGTTAAAAATGTGCCAACGAATCTCGGCCTGTCCCACCACTACAGGATCTGTGAGTTTGGAGGGTTCGACTGCCTCAAACAACCGAACCAGGTATTGGTCGTTGGCTTTGCGGTATTGAGTGAGGCAGGGGTTTGGTAATGATGATAATGAGAGTTCTATGATATATTCTGGTAAATTGTATGGTGACCATATATGCTTAGTGGTGATGTCTTTTTACTGTGGCTGGATATATAATCAACCTTCAAAAACACGTCGAAGGATCAGATCAACGACGTTAATTATCTGATGCTGATATATCGCTTTTTGCTTTCCTAATGCAGGTGGACCGACAAACACACGAGTGGCTCCTCCCCCTGGCGAAGAGAGTGGCGTCCTCGTGCTCCAAAATATTCCCTTCGCTCGGCAGGTGTCCAAAAGCTCCTCCACTCGGCTCTCCATGGTGAAGCGTTGCAGGGTTTTTCTTCAAACTCCATGCATTCATTCGCACACGAGGCGTTCGGGGCGTTCTCTTGTGCACTTCTGTTTACACTCGTCAACTTCCCTGCGCCACGCGTCTGCTCGACCTTAGTGTAGCTGGATATTGTGATACAGTCCCAGTGCCTTTAAATCCAGGGTGATTGCAACTGCATAAAATACCTGTCTCCCAAAAAAAACAATATCAGTGTCTTGTGATAAGGACAGTATTGCCTGTTATAGTTAAAGTGATTGCTGATGATAAAGCATATCGGCTTGATACCCTATACCAAGGCCTGCGATAATAAGGTGGCCTTTAAGTACAACTCAGTGCCTTCTGTTAGTGCCTTTGAATATCATGTGATACAAAATGAGAAAAGTTACATATAATATTTGTGCTTCTGAGACACTTTATATCCACAATGTCATGCACTTGATTGTGTGCATGCGTTATCATGCTGACGTTTATGAGAATGCTTGGATATGCGAAGCTGTACATATTCATAAATTAATAGTGAATGTATGAATGTATACATATGTGCATATATATATATACGTTTATATTTTCTATTTATATATATATATTTATATAGTTATCTATTTATTTATGGATGCCTAGACATTGTAACTGTATATACTATTATGTATTTTCCTTGTTAATTTGGTAGAGAGAGGAGTGGCGTTAATCCCATACTTTCAAAGCCTACATAGTATGTTCCCAAGAGCTCCGTGCTTCCTATA